TCAGAACAGGAGGAGGAAAAGTAGTCATTTATAAGGGTCAGTAACAGCAATGAATTTATTTACTAAACACCTAATTGAGGAATAATTAACTGACTTGATTTATATTTCTTCAAATCATAGATAAAAAGGTCTTTCAGCTTAGCGGATCTTTTTGGCAATGAGGAATCCAACTGAGAATGCTGTTTGTTCAAAAGGTTTAAAGGAAAATTGCAGCAGGTAGATGGCTCTAATACCTGAAGATCTTCACACCAATTCAAGCCTGGAACCAAACACTACAGCAGGACAACTGAATATTACTCACTGGACAGTCCAATCTAACACAGCAAATATTTTAACACAGCTTTTCTTTGCCCTTTTGTGTAGCGAACATTTCCTCATGTAGGGCCCACTTCCATAAGATACTGAGCCCTCTCAAGTGCCCACTGATTCCATCAGGTTACAAGGCTGGGCCCTTAGGGAGTGGCAAAAGAGCAGTAAAAGCTATGACTCTAGTCCAGCAGTTCCCAAACTTCATTGCAGCATCACTCCTTTCTGAACAACAAAAATCAGTGCACAACCCCAAGAGAAGGAACCAAAGACAGAGCCCACTTGGAACCCTACTGCACTGAGCAGTGAGGGAGGGGAGGAATTGTCCAAAACTGAAATCTAAGAGCTTCTGCCCTGGGCAGGGGGCATCCAACCTTAGTGTCCTGGACAATGGGGCTTGGGCTTCAGACTTGCTGGGCAACTCCATTAAAAATGGTGGTGTCCTGATCTAGTTTGAGAATCTCTTATCTAGTTTGCTGAGCTACTAAATTACTACTGAATCCTTGTGAAACAAGTTGAAAGTGACTGGGTAGGAAGGATAGTTTAGTGGACAGGGGCATTAGCATAGGCGTGTGCAGCACATTTCATTAGGGTGTGCACCCAAAGAATTTTTTTAAAAGGCACTTTGACTCCCATTGGCCACACCCCTGAGCCCCATTGGCCACACCTCTGGAGGTAACATTCTCAGGGCAAGATGGACACATGACCAGAAGTAAAAGATGTCATGTGATCCCCCCCCAACTTTTCCCACTATCCTCCTACCAATAGGGATTAATTTGACCCCCACCAAACCTCCCTCATACAACTATCCTGCAATTGCATTAACCTAACGTGTGTGACATTAACTCGGGGGCGGAGAGGCTGGGGGCAGTGTTCCCTCTAAGAGTTTCCTCCCAAGAGCAGAATGAATTTTGTGTTGTGCACCAGTACTGAGTTCATGGGGCTTGTTTGGATGTGCCACTGTGGCACCCAAGTTATTAATACATATCTCAAACCTCTACCTTTTCCCTCTGCTGCCATGTCTCCTCTCCTTGCTCCATCATCTCCCCTGGTGCCTGCTGCCCCCCAACCCCTCTCCCTCCTCTGCTGTCCTGACTCCTGCCCTTCTCACTGCCCTCAGCCCTCCTGAGACCTGCCACCCTCCACCAGCCCTTCTCTCCCCCCTGTGCCCACTCCTCCAATAGCCCCACTCTGATCATGTAAACTACCCCTCCTCATCCCCTCTCCTAACCCCTCCCTCTACACACTTGCCTTGCCTCTCTCCTCTGGTGCTGGTCCCTCCCCTGCAGGTGTCTGTCCTTCTGCTTCACCCCCAGAATCCCCTGGTACCTGCACCTTCCCTTACCCTGCACCTTCCTGGTGCCTCCCCCTTCCCTCCCTGCCCCTGCCCCTCTTTTTTCCCCTAATGTCCACCCCCTCACCACCCTCTGCCCCCGTTCCCCTCATGCCCCTGTGCCCTCACACATGACTTGCTCCATCCCCACCTTTCTCATACCCATCCCTTCTTTCAAGGCTTCTCCCAGGACCTCTCCCTCCCTCCTCTAGCCCCCAAAGCCCTTACCCTCTCCTCTCCCAGCATCACCCTGTCCCCCTCCCACTGATACCTCCCCTCCTGGCCTTTTCCTCATTGTCTCCACTTGGCCCCCTGGCATGTGTGTCTCCTTTACCGTGTCCCTTGGTGCCTTCCCCTTTCTTCTCCTGACCTGCCCCCTCCCTCTCCCACTCCTTCCTCTTATTTTCTCCTCCTTCCCCTCTCCTGCCCTCCATTATTTTTCTTCCCTCCCCTCCCTTACCTTACCTTCGGCTTTTGCCTTCCAGCTTGCGGGGCTGGAGTCAGAGTTGGTCCAAACTACAGGCTGGCCAGGCCATAGCCCGGGGCACCTCAGGAGCACCATGTGATACTGCCGGGCCAGGCGGGCCCACGTGGTGCTGCCTGGCTGGGCGGGGCAGGGATGCCTCAGGGGGCCGCGTGGTGGTGCTGCTGCTGCTGGGTAGGGGCCTGGGCCGCAAAAATGGCTCGAGCTGGCATGTGTAGTCGGGCCCTAGCTGCCTCTGGAGCTGGGCAGTGCGGTTTTAAACTCCCAGACGTGACATCATGCCAAACCCGGGCATCTCCCCTAAAGTCCCAGACGTGACATCATGCCACACCCAGGCATCTCCCTTCGCACCTGTTGCGTGGTGTTTGAGGACGCTGCGCATGCGGTCTCTCTGCCCCACAGTGCTCCGAGGAATTTAAAATGAGGGGCTGTGGCGCCCCGTCACAAATCCCCTTCTAGCCGGCCCGAGACATTAGGATGTGCCTGGGTACACCCGGCACACTCCATGCGCACGCCTGTGGACGCTAGACTGCCATTGCAGTGATCTGGATTCAATTCCTGGCTCACAGACTTCCTGTGTGACTTTGGACAAGCCATTTATTATTCCTCACACCTCAGCTCCACCTCTGTAAAATGGGAATAATATTTCACAGGGGTTCCCTTAATAAACGCTATAAAAGCAAATAGATAGACTGCAGTTGAAACAAATTTTACATTCAGCACATGGGCATTTGGGGAAAGGAGGTGGAAAACACATCTCTTCCTAACTAATGTGTTTTCTAGAAAGTAGGCATCCTGAGAAATGAAGTGAACACGTGTAATAGTAACATGAGTATTATGCTGTAATAATGTAGACATAGCACTAGCAAAACTCTGGTCCAGAATCTATCCCTAAGTAAGGGTCTATTACACACACACACACACACACACACACACACACACGTACGTATGTACGTAGTAATAGAGATGTAGCCATGTTAGTCTGGTCTTGCTAAAACCAAAAGACAGAACTATGTAGCACTTCAAAGACTAACAAGATGGTTTATTAGGTGATGAGCTTTCGTGGGCCAGACCCACTTCCTCAGTACATACACACACCAAAACACTTCTACAGGAAAAAAAGTTACCCTAATACCAAAACCAACTAAAAACCATTTTTCTTTGTACTAAAAGGCAAAATAACTGGAAAGGATTCCATTGTGTTTAATGGAAAGTGACACTAGACATTCTTTCAGCTGCATATTGCCTCTGAGTAAACGTGGAGAGAGAAACACAAGGACAGAAACTCAAAATTGACTTTGACATGCATGCCCATGGGGGTTTGAAAATTTACATTTCATCTCTGAGCTTTGCTGAGATGTCACTATAGCAAAAAGCAGTGCCAATATAATACTGTCTCTGTGATCATAAGTTATGAAGGACAAATAAGTAAACTCCAGTTGTTCTGGAAACATTTTGCAACTTGCTTATGTTTCAAATATACTAAGTCACAATTTAATGCGCCCATGTGCAACCAGAAAAAACTTCTATTTACCAATCTTAACGTCATAATCTAAAACCCCTATTTTTCCTTTAAATTTGTCAAGAGTGTTGAAGAAGCTAATTTCACAACTGCTGGGATCTATGACAGCACTTGTAGGTGAGTAATGAATTACTTTAAATGAAAAGAGACAAACCTGAAACAGTACAAGTTTTCAGCAGGGCTTAGCTGCTTAACAGATAAATACTCTATAGCTGACACTTCAACTGATGATTAACCATCCTTCTTGCTCTGTTACACCACCCAGAAAAGAACTATTTACTCAACAAAGACAGCTGAAAGGTGCAGGGTATGTATGTGCATTCAGGAATATCATTCCTACCAAATGGGAGAGACTCACTGCTCTGTCCCAGCAGGGAGATGCTGCTGTCCCTGAGGGAGATGTGCTCCTCCCCCTGCCAGAGAGCTCAGGTGTGGAGCCCTGGCTGGGTGAGGCTCATTAAGCAGCTGTGGGGTTGTGTTGCTGTGCAGTTTAGAGGGAACACTGCCCCCCCCCCCCCACACCATATCCCTGTGTCTTTGGGCATGCACCCTGCTCCCGCCTGTCCAACTAGCCGACTTGATGCCTTTAGCCATTGCCAGCTGCCGTCATCCTCGTGTGCCTCCTTCCCCCTCAGCCTGCCTTGAGCTGTTGGGAGCCGCTCTGCTGGAGGGCTCCCAGGCAGCTGGCCCACTTGTCTGCCTGCCATGTAGGACAGCTGTGAGAGTCGAGGGGGAGAGTCACCAGGCATTCCAGAGAGGCAGGGGTTGGTCGCTGCGGTTTCCTCTAAGTAGGGGGCAGAACAATAAGCTTGAGTATCCAACACATTTGATTAACCGGCAACCTTCCACTCCCCATGAGTGCTGGATAATAAGGCTATTCACAACTAGGGATGTAAATGGTTAACCAGTTACAGTTAACTGGTGACCTGGACGGGCTGGTGCAGCCCCCCCCATCTGACACAGTCAGGGAGCTGCTCCAGCCTGGCTGGGACTACTGCATCACAGGTGGGGGGAGGGGGAGTACAGGCTGGAGCAGCCCCACTGCCTGCTCATGTTTAAGCAGTTAAACAGTTAAATATTATCCTTATGACAATCTGCAAATGTACTTATACACGTATCTTTGTATGTTAATGAAATAGTTCCTGATATTGCTGAATACTGTCTGAAGCCAATCATATAAATAAAAACTATTTATCTGAAGGTAATCACTGATGTCAGGACCATTTGATAGTCCTTCTTTTAATATATAGTCTTTTGCCTCAACCAAAAAGATGGGTCAAATTTAAAAGCATGGAATCATTTCCTAAAATGGTAAGTCAAGATTATTTTCATCCATTTTAAATTCTAAAAAAAGCTGTAGATAATTTTGTCAAATGTAAATGTTAGCATTTTTATGGACTCCAATTTAATAATGATAATCACATCTACTCCTTACATATTTTTATACTGAGAGATGCAGCCAAACATTTTAAAGAAGATTTTACCATGTCTTTAAAACATGTATTTTATATTGAGAATTTATTTAAAAAAATACAGCATTTCAATCTTATTGAAAATTGACTAAGTGAAAATAATTAAGTTTCTAATCACAAACAACATCATACTACATTATCAGGTGTGAAAACCTGCAAACTATACTTACTTATATACAAGCCAATTTATTCTGCACAAGGCTAACTTCAGGTGTGAATAACCAGTAATAATAAACACCAGCCTGCGGGTAGTAGGAACTGAGAGTTCGTGTGTATGAGCAAGTGTACTCTGCAAGATTTTAGGTCTTTTTTTTTTTTAGAATTTATCAGCTCCTTAGTGTATCTGGAATATGACACAAAGGGGATGCAGACAGCAGGGAAAAAAAATCTCAAGAAATCTGGCTTATTTTTGTTTTTTAAAAAGGACATTAATTAGTGCTCTGAGTAAAGAATCTCTTATTCCAACATGGAATTATTGTCCTTCCCACATACATTAGTGGCATGGTGCAGTTTTATCCATCTCTCTTCTTGCCTTTTCTAGTCACCCACAATGGGATGGAAAGAGGGAAGCTGAAAATCAGCATTCCTGATACGCCCCCTTACTTCCATTTGGTTCAACTACTTTCCTTTGGAGAAATATCCATTTAAGCAAGCGCTTTGGGACATGTGACATCTTTAAAAGTCACCTTCCCAGATGTACTGTTTTCAGAAATTACCGTGAAATGGAATTACTTTAAAAAATTCCCTTTACAACAAAAGTTGATTGCAAATAGAGTACATATGGCACAACTAGGGATGTGAATGGTTAACCAGTTACAGTTAACTGGCAACCTGGACGGGCTGGAGCAGGGAAAGGGCTACTCCAGCCTAGCAGGAGCCACGCCATCACAAGTGGTGGGCGCTGCAGCCTGGACAGACTGGAGCAGCCCCACTTCCCACTCCCGTTTAAGCGGTTAAACAGTTAAATATAACATTTAACCAGTTAACTGATGAAACAGGATTTTACATCTCTAGGCACAATGTGACCACAGACTCTGCCTTGAGGGAACTGCAAAACCTCTAGATACAAGAGATGCTGTCAGCCTATCTTTACGACTTTATCTTGAAACAGTTATTAACTTTAACAGAGAATGGCTGTCAAGGGAAGACATTTCAGTTTTACTTTACATAATATTTATGATGTTACTAAAAAAAATAAATCTGTTTGTAGTAATTGTTATGGTTAGGGACTGTCAACAACATCCAAGAGGAGTGAGGATATTTTATTATTTATGGAAAGCAGGGAAACAGGGAGGGAGATATTTAAGAAAGGGTTCATGGTCTGCTGGTGTCATTATAGAAAAGGAAAAATACACTCATTTAGTACAGCTTTAAGACACCAATATTTCTCTGTTAAGAACAGAAAAGGAAAAAAAACTATTTGAGAAAACAGCCAATGTATTATTGCTAGAGGAGATTAAGATTTCCACTGAGGTTTTTGGAGAAGTGGTAGAGGAAGAACATGTTATAAAAACTTGGTTATGTGCTTTACCTCTGTAAAGGAAACAAATACAGAAACAAGGTTGTTGCCCTGAATCCTCACAATACAATCTAAACAGGCAATGAGCACACCAGGGACAGGAAAAGCAAGTACTTGTTAACAGTGAAGTCTAGAACATGTCTTATTATAGTTCCAAGTTTGGAGGTTTATTTCTTTTGCTAGCACTTCTGGGGAGAGATGAAAGAACAATAATTTACAGAGGTCCTGGAAGCAGTGTTCTTTAAAGAAGGACATGAAGGAGAAGAGCGTAGTTGTACAGCATGTCAGATCCAGGAAAGGATTTTGGGATAGGCGGCCATGTGAAAGAAAACACTTCAGAACAGAACAATTATTTCTAAGTTTTGAGCTGAGCAAAGAGGGAAATGGATATGTAAGAGAAGTAGGGATGAACTAAATTGTTCAGAGAATAAATTGGCAACTACAGAAATTACAGTGAAGTTAGATAACCAGATCTGGAGAACAGTTATTACTATCCTGGACAGAGTACTCCTTAAACATCAGCAGCTTGATTCTACCTCTTAGCAGTTCCTTACTAATTACCCCGACCTGAAACACATTACTCACAAACATAAGGCATGGGACGACTCCAAGGTGTGTGAAGTTAAACTTGTGAAAATTATTTTTGCAGTACTGAGACTTCAGCGATTAATATGACTGATTTTGAGAGGTATAATCAGCACGTGTAAAAGGAAAGAAACCAAGCCACAAATTAATGCTGCGAGATAAATATGGATTTCTCCTACCAAGGAGAAAAAAAGTTAAGAAATGTACAGAGACAGCCGTTACTGTGCAAAATCTACACAAATAATATTTTTATTTCTGTAGGGCTCTCTACTAAACATGACCTCAGCAGGTGCATTCCACTTTTCTCTCATCTGCAGCGAGCTGCTTCTTTTCTGACTTCTTGTTTCAGAAGAAACTTATGGAACAATAAGTTTCTAACTAACTCAGAAAAAGAGTAATGTATTTCAAGTTGGGTAATTACTAAGTAAAAGGTATTATCTAATACATATAAATAAGATGACTCTTCCCAGACTTTGGAAAAGAACAAACTTTGTATCCCTATAGCGCTGGATAAATCCAATGTCACAACAGATGCAGAAGAACTATCATACAGTAGGTCTTTTTCTTTTCTAATTTTATGGGGTACACATGAGCCACATACTCATTCAATTTGACATACAAGATTTTAGCCACCCAACTCTATATAGGTGGGGTGTGTCTAGACTGGCAAGATCTTGCGCAAAAGCGGAAACTTGCCAGATGTCTACACTGGCCGCTTGAATTTGCACAAGAGCACTGACTTTGGAAAGTACAAAATCAGCGCTTCTTGAACAAATACTTTCACGCTCCCGCTTGGGAAAAAGCCCTCTTGTGCAAGAATACTTGCTCAAGAGGGCCAGTGTAGACAGGGAAGAACTGTTTTGCGCAAAAAAGCCCCGATGGCTAAAATGACAATCGGGGCTTTCTTGCGCAAAATCGCGTCTAGACTGGCCACGGCTGCTTTTGCGCAAAAGCACTTTTTGCGCAAAAGCATCTGTGCCAATCTAGACGCACTTTTGCGGAAATACTTTTAACGGAAAACTTTTCCGTTAAAAGTATTTCCGCAAAGTCATGCCAGTTTAGACGCAGCCTTCATGAATTGCATGCTGAGTATAAATAATCTGCTCCAAATATTCTCTTTTTACAGAAATATGTAGTATTTCATGCCTTTACAAGAAAAAATCTGCCACAGATGTTTAACAACAAGTCAGGTACAAAAGAATCAAAAGGAAGGAAAGCATGACATTTGTGAAAAACCTTCCTCTCCCTGAACAAAACATAGTGAATATACTCACATATCTATTATGTGAGATGGAGTGAAATCCACATTCACAAAGGACATTACCAATGACATGATCAAAAGAAATGAAACAAGCATCAGCTAAGGTAAACTGAAGTTTTATCAACTAAATTACACAGCTAAAAAGGAAAGAAATCATTACCTTTTTATGGAGGGCATGAAATTCACTATACCTCTTTTCGACAAAATGTTTTCTTCCACTCATTAGCACTTCTATCTTAAAGACCTGTAAAAATATCAATTAAAAAAAGATTAATTTCACCCACTCAGAACATTCTCAGTAATCTAACGTTAATTTTGTGACCATGATGTATTTCATTCCTTTAATTACAGTAGCTGATCCCCAAAAACCCACAAGACTCAGGAGACACAGGAGTGCAACATTGATTAATGAGGACTCTGACTAAATGCTCTACTAATAAGTTTGTTCAGGAAACACATCTAAAGGCAATTAAGTTTTGGATTTTTTTTAATCTTTGGCTTTTAATTATACAATAAAAATCCTTTACAGACATTATTTCCCGTAACTGAATGGAGAAGAAAATGAATTGTCAAATGAAAATAACCAGAACAAATATAGGGGTTAGCTTTCTTTCTCTTGTTCAGTGCTGCATAGTAAAAACTACACATGTGGCTAATATGTTCCTGATGACAGAAGTAGTACGTCTTCTACAACAGAAGAGAAATAAATGTAAACTGTACATTGTAGGTTAATTTCTTCCTAACCTGCATATTCATCTCTAGTCTCCGATGGGCTTGTTCTACTGTTTATAACATGAAAAAAGTGTGGTAAAGGCTCATTTTCTTTGCATGATACATATGACAGCTTTTGCTATCGTCTGTGGAAGGTTGAAAGGCCAGACAAAGAGGCTCTCTGGAGCCACTAATTAGTAGCCACTAACATGACACTTTCTTGAGTCTCGGGTCACTAGATCAAGTTCTGAGGGCAAGTGATGAGAAATATTTTGAAATGCTCATGAAAACATGGTCTATTAAATGAAGACAAGTTCAGCAGAACAGCAATGTAAAGAGAGGTGTGTGTTGTTGCCAAGAGTTCTTACACAAGTTCTGTTCTGCTTAGGAAATACTGGACATAATTATCCCAAGGACGGTGAAAGGCTATACTAAACAATAGTATATGACATAAGAGCCCAACTGTTGGCCTCCTTTACTGTCCTTTAAAATGAATTTGGAAACAGTCAGATCCAGATAAAACGATTTCTATCTCAGTTTTGCCACTAGCGTGAATCAGAAAAACCTATTGAGGAGACAACTGGAGTCCACTTTTCAGTGGATGGTTTTCTACTAGAACATGTTTTTTTACAGGGTTCAAACATGCAATGATGCTTACTGGTTGACCAAACGTGTCAAAAACCTATTTAGTTAAAATCTTATTGTAGCCAGAGCTTTAATTTGGTTTGAGCCATAATATGGATAGGTCCATAGAAAAGACAGTTATTTAGCAGGACAACTTCACTATCTACTAATGTTCATTATAACCAGAATTAGTTTGTACTCCAGTCATTTGTAATCCACTGAAACAAATTGGGATTTTATTCTAATTCACTGAAACAGCAGTTTTACTATATCCAAGTCACTGTGAGCAGCTGAACACATTATTGGGGCAAAGAATTAGGCTATTTTGAGACATGACTCTTGTCTACCAGAAACTATGTCTTCAGAAATTATTTGCTCCTGGCAAAACAACATGACAGTCCCATGCATATTTTGCATGTTCATAGTTGTAACTATGTATTTTATGTATGAAGATACATTTGAAAAGATCAGCTGGAAGTTAGCTGCTAATTTAACACATTTTTTATTTCTAAGCAATAAACACTAACTTTTAAAGTGAGAAGTAGCTAGGAGGAAAGCTCTGCCTATATAATGTGCATGTATGTCAGTTTCAATTAATTATGCTACTTCACCAAAGAGAGAATTCCAGAAATACAGGAGACAAATGCTTGAATATGCAAAAAAAAGAATCACCTTCAGAAATGAAGAGCTGTGGAGAATTAAGTGGCTGAAAAAACTGGATAGTGGAATATGAACTTGATTAATTTTCTAGTGATCAAAAGCGATTACCTTTCAATTGCCATACAGATCTATATAAAATGAACTGATAGTCTCTATTCAGTTAGGAATGACATGTGTATGTCATACTCGTGGAAAAAAAAAAAGGTCTCATTTAGCAATTTCACATGTCAGTTAGCAGCCTCAACCTATACATTAGGAAAGGAATGAGCACAAAGCCCAGGTGAGGGCTGAGACACATTGATGGGAAGTTTAAGGTGCTGGTGCCTGGGCACTCCACGTCCCAGAGCTGCCTATCAGGCAACTTTCATGAGAATTACAAATTCATGTAAGTCAGGTTTTGCCCTCAGTTGCACACATGCAGCTTCAGTGAAGTAAGTCTGTTTCCCTTTGAAGTCAGTAGGGTTGACTGGTTCTTACAGGAGGTCAAATTTTGACCTAAGGTGGTGGGGGAAGGAAAAGAATAGTTCCTTGCAGACTGTTTTTTCAGTGCATATATATCCATTTTATCTCCAAAGGATCTGTTTTAGAATTAGTTTATGAACTATGTAAATAATTCCAGGGCCCCAGAAGCTGTAATTCATTTTTAAGCTCAGACTTTTCATCAGGAAACAAACAAGAGTGTTTTAATAACTATGCATAGAATTACTGTGAACAAGGAGGGAGAATCCATCAGTTGCAGAAGAGAGTAGCAGGCAGCTTTAACAGAAGCTATAAGAGATTTGCCTGAATGGTCTCTGTGCACTATGATGCTGCCACTTCTACTACAGTGAAATCCTCTGTCTTCACATCTGTTACTTACATCAACATGCAGGCTTAAATGTTAATAAATAGGAACAAATACAAGTGCACTGATTTCATTTAATGCAGTAATCTAACAGCCAAAAAGACAGTGTATCTTCCAGTATATAAAATTACTTTTCTCCTCCCCACAACTGACATTTCTCAGCCTACTCATTGTAGCACCTATGTTAAAAAACGTAAATGATTTGTGATACTGTTAATGTTACAGCAGTCAAATGTAGGAGAATCTAAAAACTTCCATTCTGTTTCCATAAATATCTTAATCTCCAAATGTTCACAAGTTAAATATTTTGCTTAAATGTAATATAAAGTTTGAGCAAAGTACCCCATAAAGCAGAAATTTAGCTGAATAAATAGAAAAGCATATCATATTTATGAGTACTGATTGTTAAATTACTTCATGGAGACTGTAGAAGTTCCAGTCCTATCTCCTCATCATTTACTAGATCACTACTCACAATCTTAGCACAGAGATGAGTTGTGTCACTATTTTTAACAAGGATGTAGCTAGTGATGCATGTGTGAGAGACATTTCTGAACAAACTAAAGGGGAAAGCTAACAGACACAAAATACCTAGTGAATATAGACAAGTCTGACAATAATTTAACTGAGCAATTGCAGACTCTGACAGAAAAACAATGTAAGGAAACTGGTGTACCTAGACGAAAGTGCCAAAATAAAGAAGGAACAACTGTAACAGTGCAAGGAAATTACTTTTCTATGTAAGAATGTTCACATTCTGTTAAACAGATAACTCTGAACAGACATATCACATTGTGTGTGAAGTGCAGCTAAATGCCCAGAGAATGGAAAATGCCATAACTAATCCTGGAGTCAGACAACTAATATTGCTCAACAGACAGAAATTATAGTTACAATGAATAATCCAGTTAGTCTGGTCTCAGGTGAGAATTATAGTAGTCTTACAGTGATGTTACTGTTTCCTTTTTTAAATGCACTAGGTAGAAGGATATCTAATTACCCATGAATTCTGCCACCAAATACAATGTATTCTTTCTCTCAGTACCACAACAAAAGCCTGCTCAACCTTTATCAAAGTCGGGATCTAAAATTCCATTTAATCAGTTAACCGGTTAAACATTTTATGTTTAACTGGTTAACTGCTTAAATGGGGCAGGTGGGAGCTGCATGGTGTGGTGGGCTGTCAGGGCTGGAGCAGCCCCCCACCTGCATCAGGTGGGAGGGGTGCTCCAGCCCGGCAAGGCTGCTGGTTAACTGTAACCGGTAAGCATCATCATTCACATCCCTATGTCAAAGCTGTTTGTACAGAACTTAACTGCAGAAGTGACTGTTCTACACACAGTTTAATTGGAGTGAAACAAAGAGTGGGATAAACAGCTCTGGATCTGAAGTCAGAGCAAGAGATGCATATCTTTCTGCACCCAAAATTGTGATAAGATTTATAAAGTATGGACAGGATTTCCACGTTTAGTATTTCATTAATATTCAGACAATGGCACATTTTCTCTGGTTCAGTTGGGCTGCGCTCAATGTAAGACCAGGGTCTGCTGGTGGGGCCAGATGTTGTTTTATACCTACACTTCATTTCACTGAACTAGGGGCAAACCCAGGGTTGATCCAATCACAGCATAAACAGCAGCAGTTGCATGGCTGCTCTAGCATATACCTAACTGCACACAGGTGCAGCACCCACCACAATAAGTCCTGGTCCATGACTGAGACTCCAAGGCACAACAGTAATACAAATATTACACAGGCACAGCAGCTGGGAATTTGAGGAGGGGATTAATTATATATCATTTGCATTCGGTATTTTTTTTAATAGTATTGCTTTGTCCCGAATCAAAACACAAGGAGGCATATTACAGGAAACTGTTCTATTAATTCATGGAAAATAAGTGTACTGATACACTTCATGGAAAATAACTGCTTCTGATTCTATGAAGCTGTCAATGGAACCAGTCTAAAAAGTGTTTTGTAAAGTACCTTATACATCAATCGCGTAATAAAATAATTATGGATATTCTTTGTATCATGCTTTTTTCCCCAATATCAACCAAAGCATTATACCAAAGCAGACTGGTAATGGTAGTGATTATGTAGAAAAGAAACAGGACTCTGGGGCAGTCTTTGTAAAGATGACCTTTGATAGAAAGACAGAATAATATATGTTCCTTGTGGATCCCAGAAACATTAATTCACACTAAGCGTAAAACTGTAGGGAATCTCCCGTGGAACTACCATTGTTACTGCATGAAAAGGTAGTTGACATAAAAGTGCCAGAACTCAGGATTTTTTCCACTCACCTTCACCAATCTTTTTCAAACACATTTCATAAATCCCATAGGAATGTCTCTGTCACTTCCTGAAAAATAACTTGCTTGGCTCTTGCTAAGCTAATGCAG